TACTTTAAATAAAAAATTAGTCACAATGCTAAGTTTTAACAAGATGAACACTTAGAATTAAAAATTTTTGTGACTCTATTCTAGATACATTCAAATTTTACACATTAGCTCACAAGAGATATCATGTAAAACATAAAACGTACATATTAAATATTTTCATATATAAATTCAAGAACGTATTCATTTTACGCGATATCTTGTGAACAAACACTCAATATTTTTTGAAATTTTGAGAATATTTAAAATAGAACTAGACCAATATTTTTATTAATAGTATTCAATGCATTAAAACTTAGTATGGTGACCAATTTCTCGTTCAAAGTTTACGAACGATCTTTTGAAGCTCGTAAAATACTCATTTGCATCCGAAATCGCATAAAACTTTTTTATATAATATAATTATATATGGCAAACAAGTTTAATTAGTAAATTGGGCGTTTTATGGTCCAAAAATATATGTTATTTTATGAATCTAATTGGAACATCCTGTTCCAGGAACTATCTCAGAAAATCTGTTCGAACAGGATCGGAAAAATAATTTCATGCGATATACAATCTGATCCGAATTGGAATCATGTGACCAAAATTGAATAACCAATAAAAATACTAGTGCTGGCTCACCAGTAACAATGAGCTTTAACATGCTTTGAAATCAAATTACTAATCATAAAGTTGGCAAGCAATTTTATAGTATTTTTAATTGGCAGCAAAAATAAATTAACCAATTAAAAATTTTATTTAATTGTTATTGGTATTGATATTGTTTAACTTAACTTTTTAAGATCACTTTCATTCAAGAACTCCCATTTTATCTGAAATATTAATAAAAAACATTAAATACTCATCAAAAAATTCACTGAATCTAGTCACAATAAAATCAACATGAAGAAACTGGATATCAGAAAACTCTTACTAATTCTAGTTAACAGCAATAATCTCAGAAAAATATCAAGAAAAATCAATCAATTTTTGAATATTTATATTTCTTTTAATATTCAAGATCTGAATATAAAAAATGTTTGTCTTAATTAAATAAATCAAATGAATTCAAAATTCTAAATACAGATTAGTAAGATATTATTATTTCACAATCTGTTTAGCATTTATGATATTTTATATACTAATTTTGAATATCAATAATTTTGCTTCAATTTTATTGATCTAAATATCACAAAGATCTAATTATATATTTCAAAGATATAAATATAATATAAAACCAAATTAAATATATAATAGAACTAATAAATATCTATCAATACAAAAAATGTTAAATAATACAAAACCAAACTGAAACCAATCAAAATTTGTAATATTACTAATAAAAAATCAAATATTTATTAAGAAAAATAAATATTAAATAATATAAAATCAAATTAAAAATTAGTCAAAATTTGTAAGAATACTAATAAAATAAAACTAAATACTTATTAATAAAATCAAACTAAAAATTAGTTAAATTTGTAATAGTATCAAAAAAAATATAAAATTAAATATTTATTAATAAAAAAATATCAAATATTTATATATTATAAATTTAATATAAAATCAAACTGGAAATTAGTCATATAAGCAATTAGTTACTTTTATATTAATAATATTATTAATAATTATTCAGTATTTTTTCATTAATAAGAATTAAATTACAAACTAAAATACTTATTTATTTTTGTTTTAATAATAATATTATTATACAAAGTTTAACTAATTATTAAATATATTTTAAATATTATATAATTTATTAAATAATTTTTGAAATAAATTGTTTTATTTAGATTATTTCTTATTTTATTTTTATTTTGAATTAATTCAGATTTTTGAATTAATTTTAATAAACTAATAAAATATTAAAATAAAAAGAAAGGATATCTAAAATCTATATCAATTTTTACAAAAATTATATTTACTTAAAAAGAAATAATAATATGAAAGAGTTTTAAAAAAGTAAAGGTCAAAAAGAAAAGAAAATATAAAAAATAATAAAAGAGATTCAAAAAAGTAATTTTATACTTGTATAAAGCTTTCTAGAACTAAGATAATAATAATAATAACAAAGACTTTATCACTTTGTTCTTCTCATGAGTGAAAAATATTCATTAATAATTAAAAATTCAAATATCCAAAAGTAAAATACTTATAATTCAATTTTAATAATTCCAATATAGTGATTTGTTTAGCACAATATAATATAAAGCTCAATAATCTAATAATAGCAATTTGTTTAGTATAATATGATTTAAAGCCTAAAGTCAATAATAGTAATTTGTTCAGTATAATATGATATAAAACCATCAGCAATTTGATAGATTCAATATGATATAAGATCACTTATATACAAGATTTAAAGTGTATAAAGAAAATATAAGAGATGGGAAGTATATGAAAGAAAATTTTTGTTAAAAGAGATTTTTATTTTCAATTATAACATATCAAGTTAAAACTCAGATAGTATTTCTATTTATATATTTTTTGAAAATACAATTTCAAATAATAATAACTATTTAATCAATAATAAAAGAATAACAAATGATAAAATAAATGATAAAAAATAATAAATAATGAAAAATAATAATTAAAAATGAAAAGTGATAAAAATAATGAAAAATTATAAAAAGTTATGAAAAGTTATGAAAAATAATAGAAAAAATTATGAAAAGTTATGAAAAGTTATGAAAAGTGATAAAAAAGTAATAAAAAAGTAATAAAAAATAATAAAAAACAATGAACAATGATAAAATAAATATCTAATGTATTATTTTTGTTATTTCTTAAAAGTTATTATTTTTTTGAAGATTTTTAATATTTTCAATTATTTTTTGAATTCAGAATTTTCTTTGAATTTATGAAATTACTATTATTATTGTAATATTAGTTTATATAAAATATTAAATATTATTATAATAATTTTTAAAGATTTATTAATTTCAAAAATTATAAAAAATCTAAAAATCTCTAAAAATATTAAATAATTTACTTATTTAGTTATATAAATATTACTATTTTCAAATTAATATTATTATTTTTAAATTAGTATTATTATCTTCAAATTTGCACTATTATTTTCAAATTAGCACTATTATTTTCAAATTAATACTATTATTTTTAAATTAGTACTGTCATTTTTATATTATTTTCAAATCTATACTATCATTTTTTAAATTAGTACTAACATTTTTATTTTTATATTATTATTTTTACTTTTATCCAATTATTTTTTCTATTTTATCTTTATCTTTATTTTATCAAAAAGAGTTATTTAACTAAAATAATTTGTTTAATTAAACAACTTTTGTAAATCTTGAGTGAAATCAAGAAATCAAATATTGATTTGTTTAGAATTAAATTTTTGATTATTTGTTATTGAGTCTTTGAATTGAATATTTGTGATATTTTAATTTTTGATTAAAAATATTTAATTTTAATATAGTATTTTATTTTCTTGGTATTGAAAGTACTAGAACATATATCTATAAGTATAGAAATATTAATACTATTTGTTTTAATTAATAACTCTTATTAGTTTAATTATTTTTTGAACACACTCTTCCAACTCTTCTTCCTATCTTTTAATAGAATTATTTAATAATTTCTATCAAAATTGGCATAGACTAGATACTTATTTTCACACTGATCAATTTATTAGTCTATTCCTTTTTTCCAATTCATATAACTAGTAATTTTAATATTGATCAGTATTTTGTATTAAAGTTATTTTTGAGAACTATACTATGAAAAATTGAAAATAATTATTATTATTGCTATTTTAAAAGCATTTAATTACTAAATAATACAACATGATTTCAGAATTTCATAAATATAGCAGTATAGAACTTTAGTCTTATTGGACAGTTTTGGACTTATTATTGAGTCGTAGTTCAAAAGTCGGTCCTATTAAAATATCATGTGATATTGGAAATAAACAAGTTCTTTACTCAACTGGATTCAAGTAGAACATGTTTGGGACATTGGAACCGATTAATAGCCCTAGTCAAAATATCTCGAACCTCCAAGATATCTCATTAAATTGATAATAGAGCGATTTTCGGGCTTAGAACTAAACTATAGTACAGATAAGGAGAGCGAACATCAGGAAGATATCTATTGGAGTTCGGTTCATGCATCTATATGCGAAAAAAGCATATATGCTTACCGTAAACTGCTGTGAATAAGCATCACCCTATTTAAATCCAAAAATAGTAAAACAATGAACAATAGTGAATAAGTACTATTACAAAAATTACAACAATATATCTAAACTCTCTTTAAATGGCGATAATTTTAAATTGTGAGGAAATGTCCAGAAACGAGTACCATCCAGTTTTTTAGAACCCAAAAAGTGATACTTATTCACAGCAGTTTACGGTAAATTGTAAGTGTAGAGTAATAGCCAAAATAGTAAAATTTATCATATCGATATTATTTGTACAAATTCAAAAGATCCATTGTAACAACTGAAACCTTTATTCATATGTATAATTTTATACACTTTGTAGTTAGCAACAAGTCATTTGTGAATATTTGCAACTAAAAAACTCGTTTAACCTTTGGTATTTCTATATTTTTGTTAGTACTTCACATGTCATGAAATAATATATACGCGTTTTTGACATCCGAGCCATATTCATTCAATATTATATTCTGTGCAAAACCTTTAAGATGTACAGTCTTGCGACTTTTGTACACTAAAGATGTTGGTTTGTTAGCTCTATCATATACAACATGTACTGGTATCACCGTTGGATGTTGCGGTATTTAATCAAATTGCTATTCGTGCAGAGGTTGATCATAAACGTAATAATTTCTGCTTGAAAAGCATATTCCGATGACTGGCCATTCGCATTACTTGTTTTCTTAGTAAAAATGTGTTGGGTCGCCAAGTTCTATATAAGAGAAATTCGACAGAGTCGACACAATCAACATCAGATGTTTTACCTCTTTACAAGTACGTATAGTACTCTAGCTTGGTCCTATCAGTGACGTTTTCTAATAGTCTAAACTCGAGTTCACTTATGTGAGAAAGCATGATGCTGCGAAGAATAGGAGCCGTGCATTCCAATTCCAAAACATTCAGATACCTCTAAGCAAAAAGCATCCCTTCAACAAGCAGAAATTCGCTATCATCATTTTTTACATGATTAAGAAACAAAAAAATTAATGACCAAGTAAAAGTTACATGGTGAAGAATATAGCCAAGAATATTTCTTTTCACACCTGAGATATGCTTAAGAGCTCGAGTAGTAAATTCATATGTTGCTTGTTTTGCTATGAATATGGGTAATTCAAAAGTGCTGTGTCGATCCCAATCATCAATTGTAGCCTTGCGTTTACCTACCATGATCTTGGTTACTAGATAATGACCACACATTTCAACAAGACCTAGAATGAAGTTAGAAATATCTTTAGCATATATCAGTTAGATCAACTGTAAATCCAGCGTAGACGGCAAATCGTCCGCCGTAAATGGCGAAATTCTCGACCAAGAATTAGTTCGCTGGTGACTGACTAGGTATCTATGAGCACAATTGAATGCAAACAGAATTCATTGATATTCTCTTTGAGGTCTCGTAACGTAGAGATAAATTATAATATTGTTATTGTCATTATTTGCATTGATCAAGAATGAAACTTCATCAATGAAGAGTATTACGGGAACTGGCGAATTTAGATTTTCTTGGAAAAAAATTCCTTGAAAGTAGCTGAAGAAATACGCTCATTCTCGTTGAAACTAAATCGGCTTCTATCTATAGCTTTTAGTAACCTGCATACGGATCTCCAGAACTTTTTGGAACCTTCACCAACCGGTAGTGATTTGGACTAAATAATTTAGGACAATTTAGGAATTTAGGACTTAAAAGGCTAAATTATTATATACAGTCAACCCTCTCCATTATCAACCTCTTTAATACCTCTTTATTGCAGAACAAATTTCACTTGGACTAATATATTGATACTAACTCTAACCTCTGAGTTATCAACCCTCTTATATATCAACAAAAATGCCTGGTCCCATCATGTTGACAATAGAGAGGGTTGACTGTATATGTTGTGAATAGTCAAAAAATTTTATTTATATAAAATCGATTTTTAGTCCGATAACTTCGGGACGTGATATCTCGCGATCTAGTGATCAGATCGGAGCGAGCTAACTATCGATATGTCTAGTTCATAGTTTGGGGAGTAACAAATATTAACTAATATATTTTGTTATAGGGACCCCTCCCCCCTCCTGAAATTTCATTTAACACATGCACGTGAGATTATATTAATACCTGAGATTTGGCCATCCCCCTCTCCCCCTAGAATATTAATATTTGTCACTTCCCTTAAGACAGATGATAGTTAGCTCGCTCCGATCACTAGATCGCGAGATATCACGTCCCAAAGTTACCGGACTAAAAAATAATCGATTTTTATATTTGTCTGATATTAGCCTGCGTGCCTCAAAATTTAACTTTCATGTGTGCATTGGTCCATTATACATGTATACTGCGCCTAAAATTTGAAACCTGGAATTATGTTTCATAGACCCGGCCGGATTATGAAACCAAGAAATTTCTTTGGTATGGCCTAACATATGACGCAATTTTTCGAACATTCGGTCGATCTGGTTGATCTGGGCAAAAATCGATTATATTTTCAACTTTGTCAATAAGTCCCACTCCTTAAGTTGCTTCAGAATAACTATATGCGGATCTTCATAATACCATATCTCGATAAGAACAATACAATTTTCATCGCAGAGTTCTCTCTTAAGCTGAGCATGCTCCTCATTTTTTTGGAAGTGTTTTACATGTTACTTATGTTGTTTACCTTGTACCTCTATGGTAAATTCATACTGCGGATAGTAGATATCGAGTTCTAGTTCTCAAGGATTTTTAAAAAGTCTGGTCGGCGGAATCCAGAAAACAAAAAACCTGGTTTACTGATTTTAAAATCAGAAGAAACCTGGAAAATAAAAAAATACAGATTTTTCTAATGTTAAATTAGAACAAACCAAGAAAATAAAAAATTCTAAGAACAATTTTTCAATTTTATATTAAAATATAAAGATAAAATCTTTATTTTAATATATATTTTTTCTAATTACTAAATTTGACCAAAATTTTTTATAATTGAATCTAAATTTAATTATAAACTAACTTTACAATTAAAAATTATTTCAAATTAAATCAGAAAAAATATATTAAATAATATAAAAAGAAAAAATATTTATTAATAAACTTGAAAATTTTAATATAATGAGTAATCTGTATTTATTAATAAATTATATCTTGATTAAATACCTTTCTCAGGATAATATATTTATATTTATCTAAAAAAAATCGTGAATATAAACAGAATGCTATTATAATTTAATTGATTTATTTTCTATAATATAGATGTATGTGAATTTTTTATATTAAAATTTTTGATTTATTAATATTTTGATATAAAAATAAAAAGTATTATTAATAAAATCAAAAAAGAATTTCACATATACAATATTATAATAAAGTTAGATTAAATATCTGAATAATTCTGTTCAAAATCATAACTAAATTGAAATTTTAATTTAATTTACTTATTTTTGAAAACAATTGGAGTTAGTTTGGATTATAAATCTAAATTGATAAATAATTAAACCAAACTGTTTTAAATAATTATGTGTTAATATTATTATATCAATATTAATATATATAATATCTCTTATTTTCCAATTTAATACACAATTTATATTTAAATAGCTGTATCTTACTTTACAGTCTAAAAAATTTATGTGCTTGTAAAGTTAGCATTAATTTGGAATCGAAACCAAACTGAAATTATAATTCAGTTTGGTTAGAAAATACTTAAGAACTGGAATCACTTTTAGAACTTATTTAATTTTTGAGTCTGCATTAGGTTTATTCAAAAACTGAACTATTCAAACTCTCGTGTTAGATCCAATATATTTTAAACAGGATGTACAGATTTTTTTATTAATTTTTAATTTTATTCTTTTAATAAAAAAAGATATTAGACTAATAAATCAAAAACTAAATATTTAGCTTGACATGTTTTATATACGAAAACATTTGAAAAATCAAACTATAGAAACAAACCAAATTAATAAATTGAATATTAGCTATGTATCAAATTGTAATAGTCCTTCAAAGTTTCTCTCCCATAATACACCAAATGACCTAAAAGAAATCCACTAATTATTATAAAAATATTATTTATCAAAGGATTGTCATAAGTTCTCGCTAGAATAACAGTAATAGACGCATATATCCAAAAGCTCAAAAATATTTCCAATAAATTAACATGTTCGATTGGGTTTTTCTTTTTCGTTTCCAAATCAACTTCTTTGAAATATTGGGATAACTCAAAGAATTCCAATAGATTACTATAATCATAGGTTGGTACCAAGTAGGAATTCCATAGCTGAAAAAGTTCTTTGAGCGCATAATCAACGTCTTTTGTGCTGTAATTAAGGTTCTCGCGATTGTAAAGCTCTTCTAGAATGCTGGTAGTATCTTCGTCGTAACTGTTAACATTCTCACCTTCAACATTCTCATCTTCAACATTCTCATCTTCAACATTCTCACCTTCAACATTCTCATCTTCAACATTCTCATCTTCAATATTCTCATCTTCAACATTCTCATCTTCAACATTCTCATCTTCAACATTCTCATCTTCAACATTCTCATCTTCAACATTCTCATCTTCAACAT